CCTGTCTGTCTCCCTGACCTGTCTGTCTCTCTGACCTGTCTGTCTCTCTGACCTGTCTGCCTCTTTTACCTGTCTGTCTCCCTGACCTGTCTGTCTCTCTGACCTGTCTGTCTCCCTGACCTGTCTGTCTCCCTGACCTGTCTGTCTCTCTGACCTGTCTGTCTCTCTGACCTGTCTGCCTCTTTTACCTGTCTGTCTCCCTGACCTGTCTGTCTCTCTGACCTGTCTGTCTCCCTGACCTGTCTGTCTCCCTGACCTGTCTGTCTCTCTGACCTGTCTGTCTCTCTGACCTGTCTGCCTCTTTTACCTGTCTGTCTCCCTGACCTGTCTGTCTCTCTGACCTGTCTGTCTCCCTGACCTGTCTGTCTCCCTGACCTGTCTGTCTCCCTGACCTGTCTGTCTCCCTGACCTGTCTGTCTCTCTGACCTGTCTGTCTCTCTGACCTGTCTGTCTCCCTGACCTGTCTGTCTCTCTGACCTGTCTGCCTCTTTTACCTGTCTGTCTCCCTGACCTGTCTGTCTCTCTGACCTGTCTGTCTCCCTGACCTGTCTGTCTCCCTGACCTGTCTGTCTCTCTGACCTGTCTGTCTCTCTGACCTGTCTGCCTCTTTTACCTGTCTGTCTCCCTGACCTGTCTGTCTCTCTGACCTGTCTGTCTCCCTGACCTGTCTGTCTCCCTGACCTGTCTGTCTCCCTGACCTGTCTGTCTCCCTGACCTGTCTGTCTCTCTGACCTGTCTGTCTGTAGGCCGCACTGTGAGTCTGTCTGAGGTTCTGGCTGATTTCTGGGCAGGGTTAGTGGAGCGCATGTTTTCTCTGGTCAACCCTCAGTATGAGTTCAGTCAGGAGTATCTGGAGTGTGTCAGCAAACACGCCGAGCAACTACAGCCATTCGGAGACCTGCCACAGAAACTGCACACACAGGTATCCTCACACACACATGCTTTTCACATCACGACGGAGAACAAAATTTGTAGAAAGATGATAAAGATTTCTCAGATCTGCTTATGACACACATTCTCACAAGATCATATGTTGTTGTTCTTCTAATTTCATAACATGAAATACTGTGAGAGACAGAAAAGTCAAAAGAACTCAGATCTCAAGTTGAATCAAAGGCGAGTTCACATCAAGAACAAATGACTACAATATCAGCATTCACACCAGCGGACGATATCGCTCTACTTATTGGAAGTCATCTGTCACTTTAAATACTCAAGCTCTTTAAAGCATGATGGATTATGATTGGCTGTCAGTGTTTTTTTGTTTATCAGCTGAAAGTGATTCCAGCGAGTTCCTCATTATAGTTGTGGTGTGACTCGCTGTTCTCTTACAGTTAGAGCGATTATTGAAACTCTGTTTGTTATCATATTTGGTGTGAGCACATCTCCATCCCCAAAACTCTTCATCATCATTACTATAATAACCCTCCTCCTCCTCACCGCTGTGATTGGCAGGTGTCTCGAGCGCTCACTGCGGCGCGGGCGCTAGTTCAGGGTTTAGCTGCCGGCAGAGACATCGTGAACAAGGCGACGGAGGTGAGAGAAGGATTCTCAGTGCTGGGCGTTTATAATCAATTTCATCAAAGCAGCTTCACAGAATCAGTCAAAACATAATAACAATGTTCGTTTCTTAGTGGAAAAACATCCACGTTTGGTAGAGCTGATCAAGGGGATTATTGATTGGTTAATTAATTTGAAAGCTAGTAGATAATCATGTTCTTGATCCTGTGTGTGTGTGTGTAGCTGACGGTCGGATCGGAGTGTGTTCGGGCGCTGATGCGGCAGTGGTTCTGTCCTCTGTGTCGTGGATCTCCGTCACTCAAGCCCTGCCATTCGCTGTGCCTGAACGTCATGAAGGGCTGCCTGGCCAATCAGGCCGACTTAGACTCGGAATGGAACAATTTCATTGGTGAGAAAAGACATCTTGTTTGTCATTCTGTCATCATTTACCTTCATGTCGTTCCAAACTTTCTATATTTGCATATAGATATTTGTACTATTCTATCATCTTTTTTGTCAAGTCACCTTTATTTATAAAATGCTTTTTACAATGTAGATTGTTTCAAAGCAGCTTTACAGAAATAACGTAAACTAATAAAGATAATAATAATAAAATAATTATAATAAAAGTTTGTTTCCAGAAGAGAATAGCGGCACAGTCCAGCTTAAGTTCAGTGATGTTTCATTTCTGTTGTAAAATTTTTAATTTAATATATATAGCCGCTCTGGAGAAAACCGTGATGTCATCGTCCAGCTCAGTTCAGTTCTCATATAATGGCGTCAATGCAGGAGATCAATAATATTGTTGAATATTGAATTAAATGTCCCCAACTAAGCGAGACAAAAGCCAACGGCGACAGAGGAACCAGAACTCCCTCAGGGACAGAACGGAGGAATAACCCTCGTGAGAAACCAGACTCGGCCTCAGTTCTCTTCTGGCCAACGAGCCAACAGTGTATGATTATGATTCAGGAGCATTACAGGTCAGAGGTCAGACTGGATCAGAACATTATCCAGTTCCATCTAGTTGAGGATCATCAAGACGAGTTTGTTGAGGATCAGTGCAGATGCTGTCGTGTCGATGAGGCCTTACAGAGGAGAGTCTAGATCTGTGTGTGTGTGTGTCAGGATAACGCTTGTGTGTGTGTGTGTGTGTCAGGATAACGCTTGTGTGTGTCAGAATAACGCCTGTGTGTGTGTGTGTGTGTGTCATGATAACGCGTGTGTGTGTCAGGATAACACTGATGTGTGTGTGTGTGTCAGGATAACGCTTGTGTGTGTGTGTGTGTGTGTGTGTCAAGATAACGCTTGTGTGTGTGTGTGTGTCATGATAACGCGTGTGTGTGTCAGGATAACACTGGTGTGTGTGTGTGTACGTGTGTGTGTAACCTGCAGACGCTTTAATGCTGCTGGTGCAGAAGCTCGGCGGGCCGTTCCACTTGGAGTTGGCCACGGACTCGATCGCAGTAAAGGTGTCTGAAGGCATCATGTTCATGCAGGAGAACAGCTTCAGCATCTCTGCAAAGGTACACATCACACACTCGTCCTGTCAGCAGCAGGATTCATACATGGGAAACACTGTCAGAAGTATGTTTCTATCATGTTTCTTTGTATCGTATCATAAGTGAGTGACGGAATAAAGTGTTGAATCAATTCTGACGTAACGAACATTAAACCCACGCGAGTAATCGGCTGTTGAAAATTAGCCCATGATTTGCTCTCTGTCAAGCCATCCTAGGTTTATATGACTTTATTCTTTCAGACGAATACAATCTGAGTTGTATTAAAAAATATCCTTCCAAGCTCTTCCAAGACTCTTTATGTTCAGAACATTTCAAATTAAAAGCTCTCAAGTAATCTCAAAATAAAACATTGCTGCAAAAATGTTCTCTTACTTCAGTAAGTTTGCCTTCAAAATAAAAGTAAGAGAACATTTTTGCAGCAGTGTTGTATTTTTTAGCCTTTATTTTGAAGGCAAAATCACTAAAGACAAAGTTTTTGTGAGTAACTGCTTCTGTCATGACAGATCTAAGTCAGAACCAGCCGCTATCAGGATAATCTGGCTGTGTGTGCGGGCCGGATGTCATTGCTGGCCTGTTGCCGACCCCTGTTGTACAGCATGGACTTCATAGACACATTCACTGTGCTTGTGTTGGTTTCAGGTGTTTCAGGGCTGTGGGATTCCAAGGCCGACTCCTGCCAGGAGCAAACGCTCATCTAGAGGGAGAGATGATGGCAAACCGGCCTTCAGAAGCTACAGCTCTGAGGAGAAACCCACCACCGCATCGGGAACCAACCTGGACCGGCTGGTGAGGCGCCAAGAAAACCAGACCAAACCAGACCCACTGAACTGCGTTACGTCCCTATTTTGTATAGGGTTTGGTGGGACAAGTACCAAATTTAAAATGGTGTGATGTGTGGAGGCCGCAAGGTTTGATTCCAGTGCCCTAACAATGACCAAAAAAACCCTCAATAGCAAAACAAGTTCTTTATTTAACAAATGTGGGAGGATTTCAAGGCTTCGAGAGGAGCCAAAACAACAAACATAAACCCTCTAACTATTAGGGAGAAACTAACTAAGCTACAAAAAAGAAAAGAAAACAATAATACACTAACTCCCTATTAAACTAACTTAAACAAGAGAAACCAAGATATGAAAGGAAATGGCACCCACCTCTCTACTGATCCCTTCCCAAAGAATAAACAATATAAACTTAGTAGGAAATGGAAAACAACAGAAGTATACACTCCCCTAAAGGATTATTAGGAACATCTGTTCAATTTCTCATTAATGCTATTATCTAATTACCCAATCACATGGCAGTGTCTTCAGTGCATTTAGGGGTGTGGTCCTGCTCAAGACGATCTCCTGAACTCCAAACTGAACGTCAGAATGGGAAAGAAAGCGGATTTAAGCAGTTTTGAGCGTGGCATGGTTGTTGGTGTCTGAGTGTTTCACAATCTGCTCAGTTACTGGGATTTACACACACAACCATTTCTAGGGTTTACAAAGAATGGAGTGAGAAGGGAAAAACATCCAGTATGCGATGGCAGTCCTGTGGGCCAAAATGCCTTGTTGATGCGAGAGGTCAGAGGAGAATGGGCCGACTGATTCAAGCTGATAGAAGAGCAACTTTGACTGAAATAACCACTCGTTACAACCGAGGTATGCAGCAAAGCATTTGTGAAGCAATATGGTTTCATTTCATTTTTTTTTTCATTTATTTATTTATTTCAACAGGGACAATGTGCAAAAAAACATTAATTAAAGATGCTTTGCACCAGATTTAGCTTAAGCTAGTTTCCATCTGTAGTCCCCTGGAATCATTTCAAATTGGTTTCTTGAACATGACAATGATTTCACTACTAAAATGGCCCTGTCAATCATCCTGTCATCGTAAACTGCCCTGTTCCTCCATTCAATCTAATTTAATGTCCTCCTGTTTCTGAGAGATGTTGGAGGACGTTGATCTGCCAGTCGTGGGTCTCTCACGCGGACTCTCCTCGTGTGTTTGCAATTTGAATATAATGATGCGTTTAAGAGTTATTGGCTAAACGTGTCTTTTAGGGGTTGAACGACTTCAGATTTTTCGAAGTCGACTGTTATGATATCAAAGTCGAGTCGACGTCGACTAGTCGCTGTTACACGTGTCCAGTTTCGTCTGTAAAGCGGCCCAGAAAAGTCGTGAAGTGGTTTGAGCGATCGGATTTAAATCCGTCTGGAATACTTTAGCTTACACCTGGTCTTTAGCAATCAGATCACAGAAACACATGAAGTGGCCAGATGTAGCTAAACATCCCGCTGTTTACATCATCATTTAGGAATAAAAAAAAGCTATAAATTCACATCTGCACATTAGTGATGGATCCAAGTAACACAAAATAATATTCCAATTAATTGCGGGTGAATTAGAGATGCATTAATATGTTTAAATAAATATATGAAAAAAATAATGTTTGAATGATTTTAAAAGAGACTGCTCTCATTTCCCGGTAAAACAGTGAGCGTGTGTCATGCTTTTACTTTCGTTTTCAACAATATAGTGCTAAGTTAGTAAAGTATTTCCATACACGTTAAGTACCAATGCTGCTTTCTTGCTGCAATGACGCTCTGGGCTCTTCATCTGTTGTCGTCTGCAACGCGGCCATATAGTATCAAAAATTGCGTCATCATATAGTGTCACATGATCTACGCGACTAGTTGACGTCAAGCTTAAAGCGTCACAGCATTGCATTAAGGTCAAATAGTCGGTTCAACCCCTAGTGTCTTTCCAAAAGTCCACAATGCGGCTGCAGATGCAATATAATGTGGCCAGCACTCAATAAATATATTTTCATCAGGTTAGAGACTGATAATGAGTCGCTCAAACCCCTTTATCTAAACCTCTCCATAACCGCCGGTCTCGCGCTCCTCCATGTCGGTCGTTTTTCACTCTACAAACACTTTTCACTCGTGTTTGTTGTTCAAACTGAATTGATCTGCACTTCGGATTCTGACCGGATGTAGTAGACCGACCGGGTCTCTCTGGATCACTCATCTCAACACACTACGGTTTGGGACGCACTCGTTCTACAACAAACAAATCCGTCCTTGTTTGACCCTGATCCTTGATCATGTGTGTGTGCAGGTGGAGGAGCTGCAGGAGCGTCTGCGGCCCATGAGGGGATTCTGGGTAACGCTGCCTCATACCATCTGTAATGATGAACACATGTCCGCGGACGTCACCAATGAGGATCGCTGCTGGAACGGGCAGACGCGCGGCCGGTGAGAGTGAATACTGAACCGCAGCTGACGAGTGTGTGACGAGTGTGTGACGAGTGTGTGTGACAAGTGTGTGTGTGACGTGTGTGTGTTCTGCAGATACCTGCCGCCTGTGACGGCCGACGGGCTGGTGAATCAGATTAATAACCCGGAGGTGGAGGTGGACGTTGCTCGGCCAGACGTCAGAACGCGGCGGTTGATCATGGAGCTGCGTGTGGCTGTGAACAGACTGAGACTCGCTCAGGCCGGACGAGACGCAGAGTTCATCGACAGTGAGTGTCTCTGTGGTTTTATCCTGTCGTATCACACAACATGACGCTTGGTTTAACAACACGAAGGGAACAAGGTCAATGTTCTCATGCACTTTCTCTTCACCACTTTTGCTGAGGGTTGTAATGCACCAATTTGATCTTCTTTATTTTTCTGTCATCTGTGAAGCTGCTTTGAGTAATTTCTATTGTTGTGCTGTGTGTAGTAGACTGTGATATAAACACCGGTTCGCTGTGCGCAGGTGATGTGGAGGCCGGCAGCGGGTCTGGAGGCGCAGGTGAGGCGGGCGAGCGGTTCAGTGACGACTGGCCCGGTTACGGCTCCTCCTCTCCTGCTGACAGGCTCCGCCCCCGGGACACGCCCACCAAGAGGAACCGGCTGAATGGACGAGGCCGATCCGATGCTGGAAGACTCTCTCCTCCGCTGCTGTCTGTTCTTCTCTTTACGGTCTGTTTTTCACTCGGCCTTTAGAGAAGACCCGACTCTCGCGGCCCACATGAGCACAAACACCAGCATCAGCAGATCAAACTGCAAGAGCGTTTTTACATTCGTCTATTTGTACAAAGCAATGCTGTGCATTTCCTAGCTCTCGCTGAATGCTAGGTCAGCTGATCTCAAAATGCTGAATTTGAAATGAAGTTATTTGTTCCGATTTAATGTGATGTTCGACACCGTTCCTGTCATCATGAGGAATGTTAGTTTAAAGCGTTGATGATTTTTATTTCTGCTTATTACCAAGTTTGTATAACATTGAATGTACTGTTGTAAACTGATTTTATTTATTTATTTATTTAACCTTATGTACAGTGTTTGTGTACGGTATCTGTATGTGTGACAACCTCAAGGTTTTATAAATGAAACCGTGAAGGGGTAGAGGTAAAGAACAAGTCAATCTGTTGCTCTTGAATCTGGGAAGGTTAACAGTAGATTTATGCTAAAAGGAACGATTAAAGAAAACCTTTTTCTGACTTCTTCCAGAAGTGCTTGTACCTTTTTTGAATGGGCATTTTTGAATGGTTTTAAAGCATTTACATGAATAAGAGCAGGATCATATAACACTATATACTATAACACTAGCGAAAGGATGACAAAAATTAAAATTTTTTACTAAATTAACAGAAGCTTGTTCACTTTAAAAAAAAAAAAACTTTTGCTGATAATTTACTCGCCCCCGTGTCATCCAAGATGTCCATGTCTTTCTTTTTTCAGTCGAAAAGAAATTAAGGTTTTAGATGAAAACATTCCAGGATTTTCTCCATATAACGGACTCCAATGGGAACCAGACGGTTCAAGGTCCAAATGAGAGTTTCAGTGCAGCTTCAAAGGGCTTTAAACGACACCGATGAATAATCTATCTCTCTCTGTACACACACACACACACACACACACACACACACACACACAATCACAATGAACATTACATTGTCTGGTAGGATCATTTGCTTTTAAATGTATGACACTTGGCAGTGATAGTGCTTATGTAATGACAGAAAGGTGGAAAAGTTTTTTATTTTATACTTTTTTATTTGTATTTAAATAGTTTTTATTTAGAAATAAAAGCTGTTTCACAGTGTTGGAGCTGAGTCTATTTCTCCTCTTACACAGTAATTCTTTCACATGGCTTTCTGGAGCTGCGCCATCTCATGTAAAGTCTCTTTGCATGGATGATGTGTTGTTATCTCACCTTCTAAAAATGTTACATGAAAGTAATAAACTACTTACAAGAATAAAATAAGTAATATATATATATATATATATATATATATATATATATAAAGTACAGCACTCTCCTCAAACACCCATCAACCAGACTGAGGCAACATTGACTCGTTAAATGAGATCGGGAGTTCGAGCCTTCTGACATCCAAAGCGAAACTCGCACGTGATCGGACAGAAAGTGAGGCTTCATTTCGATCACGTGACTCTGGGAAAACCAATACACACCCCGATACGGGGCTTCACTAGAAATTGTGTCGCATATGTGATACGTGCATCGAAGCTTCAGTGTCATACGTAACATCACTAGTTTAAATGTAGTGATCGTAAACCAAGGCTTTCTGAAGCATTTTTAGGCTTTCATCAAATTGTGCCACTCCTTGATCCCAGTTTCACCGTCTTCATTAACACAACACAGCTGAACCTCATGAACTAGTCAGGTCTCCATTCGCTCCCAGTTCGTTACTATGGTTACTGTCGTTGGGTTAATTTACCCCAGCTGTGTCTCGTTTCCCTGATCTGTTATCTGTGTATTTAAGCCCTCTGTTTCTGCCTGGCTGTTGGCTTGCATTACTTTAAGTTGTAGTTGATGTGTGTGGTTCTCCTCGTGGCTTCTGCTGTTCAAGGTTATATTAATGGTTCCTGAAGTTATCTCCATCTTTGTGTGTTTTAATACAGCCACCATTTTGTAACTGATATTTATGAGCACATTTCTAAAGCAGAAATATGTGTTTGTTATTCCTCCTTTGATCATAGAATTGGGATGCTTATATTGTGAGTATTTTTATTTATTTATCCTATTTATATGAAACTCCTTTTGTTTACTCTTATAAACATCCCAAATAGATTTTGCAGATTGAGATTTGATGTGTAATCATAATGGGTATTTTACGGTCTCTTTTAGCAGCGGCCTTTGCCAGTGTTTTACTGGTCTTTAAGAGTTGATTGGAATGAATACTGCATGTGTGTGTGATCTGGTGATTTATGTTTTTTGCAGGAGCTGTTTAGGGATATAAAGGCATCTGAGTGAGTCAGATTTCAGATACAGAGGGTTTCCACACATGTAGTGACCGGTGAAGTGCAGGTGAGATCCATTCATCAATGTGCACCCTAAAGAACTCGAAGAATGACATGTTCACCGATGACCGCTTGTTAATGTTAATTTGTTAACTTGTCTATTTTGCCAACATAATCAATACTATACTTTGTAATTTGCTGTTTAAATGTTTGTCTGTTATAAGTGTTTCTCAGGACCTCCACATGCTCTTAAATGGAGTATTAGCAGATCCTCTGCATATCTTCTGAAGCCCTCCTTGTGTGGAGACGTTAGACTTATTCTTGTTTCTATGTGCTCTTCTCTGCACTTCATGTTCTCTTAAACCTTTTCTTTTGCACCTCACACTGTTTTAACCCTAATATTATGTAAACAAACTTTTATTTTGGATGCAATTAATCATGATTTATCGTTTCACAGCCCTATTATATGAATTTACTTTTTTTTACATTGCCTGTTGTACTTCCTAATTTATGTATAGAAGATGATTAGAAGATAGCTTAAACTAATTGTAAAAAAAAGCGTGCATTGACCGTGCTTTCATTTGAATGCATTGTATTTTTATGGGCTGAAATTCCACATGTCCAACTTCTTAAACAAATGTTAATGTTGAGAGTGTGTGTACATGTACAGGAATGCTATGCTCCTTCTCAGCAAGTCGGCACTGCTAATCTACACTACATTAATGATTTTTTTTTATTTATACTTTGTCTGTCTATTGGTACAATGGCCAATTGTATGTCCCAGGTCAGGACGGGCCAATCTGTCTGCACCCACCCCTGAGACCCGTGCCACCCTTGGGGAGTCGGACCGAGAACAGAGCAAGGAGGACCGATGACAAGATTTGGGTAAAACAATATTTTTATTGAAGATAAAATTAACTAGGGGGAATGCACGGTCTGGGTGCTCTGATGGCAACTTCACTGGGAATCAGTCAGGTGATTACGCGGCACTTAATTCCTCTTGCAGGCCGGTGATCATGAAGCTTGCTGCAGGAGGGTTTCAGGCTGGAGGTGCTCACTACAAGACAGTCAGGTGAGTATACAGACACTTGATCCTCTTGAAGGGTGGTTTGACACAGAGCTTGTGGTGTGAGTTCCAGGCTGGAGGTCTTCACTGCAAACCAGTCAGGTGAGTGTACAATCATGGAGTCCTCTTCTCTCGAAGGGCTAGCAGACGCAGAGCTTACAGCGGGGGTCTCCACTGCAAAGCAGACCGGTGATTATACAGGTACGCAACACTCTTCTTTATGTGACGGACCGAGAACTTGCGGCTGGAAGTTTCACTGCAAAGCAGTCAGGTGAGTATACAGGCTCGTAATCCTTGTAAAGCTTGTAAAGGTTTGTTTGTAGCTCAGTCGAATTGATTAATCAATCAATTTTTTTTTTTTCTTTACCACTCATTTATTAACAAGCTTTCTCATTTATTAAGACTATCTGCCCTAAATGAATGGTTAATGTTATTGTGTAATGGACAGAAACTGCTCTTTGTAAATAATTGGAATCTGTTTTGGGAGAGACCTAGGCTGTATCGTGCTGATGGACAGCGCCGGAAGAACCGGAGCGGCTGTTCTGTCGGACATCTCCAAGACGTTACAGACCAGGTGACTAGTAAGTCAAAGTCGCTCCTTTGAAAGGAGTGTTTCTCTTGGACTGATGTCTGTGCCTGTAAGGCTATTTTTTGCCATCCTTATACACGAGAATCACCCCATGTATATGCTTGTATAAAAGTCTTGCTGGATTGTTCCTGGGCTTTTGCTGCCATAGCTTAGCCTCTTTGGTATAAACTTATTTCTTATGTGCACATCTAACCCTTTCTGGGTCTTCTTTAAATAATCTTTTCTAGATTATTTAATTATTACAAGATTAAATAATCTTGTCTGCTTCTATTTGGTGATGGATCTTTTTTCTTTCAAAAAAAAAGAAAATAAATTTCTAATCCTTAAGCATATCCACGCACACGCTATTTAGCAGGCGCTTAACTGTTCAATTACTGGCCAGAATTGAACAGTTAAAGCCCCACGTTGGGCGCCATGTTTTACAGTGTGTGTGTGCTTTAATCTTAACACCCTTAACCTTATTATTTATTATCCTCAGGTTAAGTCGAGTAAGTCAAATCTGCCCTAAATCATAAGCATTTGAATTGTGTTTACAATTTGTTCAGATGACTTCTCTGTGGTCAGTTCTTGCTTAAGGTTTATTAACACTGCTAGACAATTACTTGTAATTAGCATTAGTTATTGATTAATGTAAATCTTCCAGAAATAAAAGTTAAGCTCAAACTTAAGTTCTTTACGCTCAAACTCTGGAATAGCCTTCCCGATATGGTTCGAATCTCTGACTCGCTGTCACAGTTTAAAACTAGACTAAAGACGCATCTCTTTAGCCAAGCATTCACATACTGCTTACCTTTTATTCCTCTGAATCAGATTGAATGCATTTAATTCAATAAAACTTGAAGAGTCTGTAGATTACTTGTATAGGTTGCATAGAATTTACAGTCATTACTTTCCTATATGTAATGCGTGAATGATGGGTGGTTGGGCAGATATTGTGTTTTTGCGGTAGGTGGTATGCCATACGGAACCATTGCCAATGAAAGGCATTACCATGACAGTGGGGCTCGACCGCCTCAGTCAAACAGATTTGTGCGTATGGTTCGGTTGCGGAGTTTGTGAAATTGTGGTTTTTAACATGTACTCCTGTGTAATGGAAATCATTATGTTCATCAGCTATGCTAATTATTTCCCATCTTTTTTCTGCTGTTATCTCGGGACGCTTGTCCCGAGAAAAATGGCATTCGTCAACTCCAGTTTGTATCCAGCCTCTCATGGAGACTTCAGATGCCCCAACGCCTGTGAAGAGACGACTCAACGCTTGAGGGTAAGGTGCACACTCACTGCTTTCCTGGTGCTCGTGTTCTTGATGTCGCTGCACAGGTTCCTGAATGGTGACGAGCGCGTCGGAGCTGTTGTGCTGCACGCGGGAGCGAACGACATCAGGCTGCGACAGACGGAGGTTTTGAAGGACTACAGGAGACTGTACGCAGCACATCGCCTGAAGCAATGTTCATTGTGTCTGGCCTGCTGTTTTGTCGGGCAACATCTCCAAGACGTTACACACCAGATGACTAGTAAGTCAAAGTCGCTCCTTGATTTTGTTCTTTACCACTCATAAACAAGTACTTTCTATTTTTATA